TCTTTTTTTAAATTAAAATTCCCATTGTCATCAAGATGGAACTAACTCAGAGTTGATGCTCCAGCGGTTTTCAGAGGCTTTAATTACGCAGGAGGAGACTGATCACCGTTCTCCACGGAGCTGCTGGTGGATTAGAACTGTGCAACTTTGGGTTGCCAGAACAACTTCTGACCACTAAATAGAAGAGTGTTTGTTGTGGGCTGTTTTTTTTTTCTTTTTCTTTTTCCTTATCTTTCCTCTTTTCCTTTCTAGATCCCTTTGGGTTTGAATATACTACGTTGTTAAATTTTAGAGTAAGAAAGGCTATTTTCAAAGCCAAATGACACCATAGAGGTTCTGTACTGATATTAAAAAAGGTTAAGTTGTTATCGCCTTAATATCATTAATATGAGCACCACTGAGTAACTTTTCCTTACAGGGGAAACATGCATAACTGACTCCACCGTCTCTATTAGAGCTACAGACAGCAGCACTCTCCAATAAAAGCAAAACAAAACAAAAGTCAATTTCCTAAGTACAGGGAAAAAGGAAATAAAAAAAGGTTTGGCGTCTAGTGTTTATGAACAAACAAGTCTGATTATGTTGATAAACGTATATAAATGAGAATTCTCAGGCACATTCGAAGAGAAATAATGACATTATTTCTTCTTCATTAAATATGTCAGTGACTATATATATCACCATATGCTGCATTGCACAGTATTTGCACAATAAAATGAACTTTATGGTTATCAAAAACAGATTTTTTTATTTGTTCATTGGAAGCAAATACTATTTTTTTTTAAAGATAGCTAGGATGAAACTAGAAATAATAATAATTCCTTGGGAGATGAATGACAGCTTTGTGGTAATATGAGCGTCAGACATTCCTTCAGCGGTCGTGTTAGTAAAACCCTCTGAATGCAGCAATATTAGAGTTGGTACTTTTGTGCTCCCTCAGAATATCTTCATTATTCTGTTTATCGTGGGCCTTTTCTCTTCAAATATAAGTACAAATAAAAAGCATATAACCAAGGACTCTGTACACTTTAAAAAAAAAAAGTCAATCCACTTTCTGCTTATTAGTTTCTCTGTCACAGAAAACTCTCTTTCACATGGACTTCTGACGATGAACTGAATTTCTAGATGACAACACAGTGCAGCGTTCCAGACAACCAGAGACGAGCCTCTAAAGAGAGTTCTTTGTCCTAATAAACCACACATTCAACGTACTGATGTGAAGGGCACAGAAAAGGAAATATGGTCAGCGATGTTGTCTGTGTCGTGGCGTGCTTTTAAGATAAAATAGAAATCAGGTGTGTGGTGTGTTGGATAAGTCAGGAAAGGGGAGGGGTGGAAGGCAGATGTGAATCCTTGGGGAACATCAGGTCTCCAAGCATGGAATGAAAGAAAGACGGGGCGGTGTGGAGAGGGGAAACGCACAGGAAAAGGCCATCCTCCTTAAAGCGTACCGTAAATCCGTTAGTAGTTCCTAGGACAGGGCTGTTAAATGCGTGACTCACAGTGACCCCATGGAGAGCAGAGCTGATCCCTGTCTGCTTCTGTGCTGTCCTCCTCACCTCTGACTCGCAGGAGCCCCCCTGCAGCCACTGGACCTTTCACTCTCAGGCTCTGCCTTCAGTGTTACGTGTAACAGTGTTAAAATGCTTACATTACTTGTCTTAAGAGTAAAAAAAAGCAGGATTCTGGGGCTTCGTGTGACATACTTTGGACATGTTGTAAGGAGAGACTGGTCTTTGGAGAGGGACATCATGCTGGGTAGAGTGGAGGGACAGCGCAGGAGGGGAAGACCCTCTATGAGGTGGATTGATTCAGTGACTGGGTAATCGGGATGGGAGTGTCAGAGGCAATGAGATTGGCACAGGATAGAGCAGGGTTTAGGGCTGTTGTACACAGGGTCGCTATGAGTCGGAAATGACTCGACGGCACATAACAACAACAACAACAACAGATTCTTAAGATGTATGAAGGTATTTTTACAAGTACAAGTTCAAAATTCCTAACAGAAATGTCAGAAAAAAGAGAGAAATATTTGACTCGGACGAGTGTTAAAATTTTGTGACAATACCATACAAAGCAGAGGGATGAGGATGTGCGGGGGGGGGGGGGGGAGGGCGGATCACTCATGGGGTTGTACAATTTGATGGATGCGGGGGTGAGGAAAATTGGAAGGATCTGTTCTGGAAAACAATGTATTCGAATTTTGTAAATAACAAGAACAATTTATCTCCCATAAAAAGTACACATAAGAAAAAGTTGTCTAAATAATTTATAGTTAATGTAAACTAAAACATTATTAAAATGTAATGCAAGAAGAACACTGAAAATCCGTAGGTAGGCGGAACTCTGGTAGCCTAGTGGTAAGAAGCTGCGATGCAAATCCAAAGGCATAAGGTTTGAATCCACTAGCTGCTCTGCAGAAGGCCGGGCAATCTCCTCCTCCCTTACAATTTACTGTCTCTGCAAATCCATCGGTTGGTCAGTTCCGAAATGACAGCACACAGCAACAACAGCCACTGCACCACCGCATGTACGGAAAATAATTATTTAGGAACATATGCCTATCAATTTTCAATCTCTTCACCATCTATCATGATGTTGTGAAGAGTTTTATTCTGCTTGGCTCCACAGTCAACACTCTTGGCACCAGCAGCCAGGAAATCAAAAGATGAATGACATTGGGAAAGTCTGCTGTTAGGGACCTCTCCAAAGTACTGAAGAGCAAGGATGCCACTCTGGAGACTAAGGTGCATCTGATACAGGCCATGGTTTTTCCAATCACTTGCTATGGGTCAGAGAGCTAGACAATGACTAGGGAAGATAGGTGGAAAATTGATGCCTTTGAGCTGTGCTGCTGGAGAAGAGTATTGAATATTCCATGGACTGCTAAGAAAACAAACAGGTTTATCCTCAAGAGGGTTAAACCGGGATGCTCCTTGGAGGCAAGGATTCTGGGGCTTTGTGAGACATACTTTGGACATGTTGCAAGGAGGGACCAGTCCTTGGACGGGACATCATGCTTGGGAGGGTTGAGGGACAGCACAGGAGAGGAAGACCCTCCATGAGGTGGACTGATTCAGTGACTGGGTTAACCGGGGTAGGTGTGTTGGAGACAGTGAGATTGGTATAGGACAGAGCAGCATTTAAGGCTGTTGTACATAGGGTTGCTATGAGTCACAGGCAACTCTATGGTACATAACAACAACAACAACAATGCTTTAGAAACTATTGCAAACACTTCTTTGTGATGTTGTACTACGTAGATGAAAACATACACCAGGTAAATATGAATATTCTTACACAGGAAAGCAGTCGTTGTGGATCATCAAGTTGGAATCAGCTCAGAGATGACGTCCAGCAGGTGTTCAGAGGCTTTAAATTGCTTGAGAGAAGCTTGCCCATCTTTCCCCCCAAAACCATGAGTGTATGTGTGCCCATGAACTTTCAAAGATTATTTCTTTTTACATAATTCATGGACCAATTTAAAAGCAAAATTTTGCATATTTTTTTAAAATTTCCTAGCAAGAAATACTAACCGAAATGCCATTTCATACATATTTCATTTTCATTCATGCTGACATAGCTACTTTTGTATGTCTAACAATCTCTGCAGTTGTATGCCTTCAATATGGTAAACGCTAACAACACAAAGGTAAAAAGAATGAAGGTATGATACAAAGTAATGGGATTTATCCTTTGCATTTTTAATAGATGCTGTAAAATTAGTTTTGTATGTATATACAGTTTTGCATGTCTCTCTGCAATAAAAATGTCTTAGTAACAAGCAAAAAGCACATTAAACATATTTGAAAATACCTACTATAGCATATACATCCTCAGATGCATGGCATTTCAGAAAAATTTCATTTTAAAAAATTTACATAATATCTGATTTATATCCATGAAGGAAAATACAGTTTAAAGATATTTATTTGACAGAAAAAATGGGATAAATTATGTATATTGTATTGAAACAGATGAGGGAAAGAACAGATTAGAAGTGATATATGATTGAGTATTATGGTTAGCACAGGAATCCAGAATTAAGGTTGCACAGAGAAGTGTACTCGGGGTGGAGGGTGGGGGGAAGGGACGTGGGAATTGTATACTAATGAAGAAACTTTTTTCTTTTTTTTTTTCTCTCTTCAGAGGGGGAAGCGAGTTGGTGGGGAGGGGTAGGCAGGGAGAAAATTGCGGCAATGAATGAATGGAAATCCAAAACCTCTGTAAAAAAAAAAAAATAAAGAGTAAAAAATAAAAAAATTAAGAAGACAACAACAACAACAAAAAAACCCAAAAAGCAATGATGTCAGTCTAGAGACTAAGGTGCTCCTAATCCAGCCCTGGTCTTTGCAATTACTTGTTATGCATCAGAGAGCTGTACAACGACTAAGGATGATAGAAGAAAAATTGATGTCTTTGAACTGTGGTGCTGGAGAAGAGCCTTGAACATACCATGGACTGCCAAGGAATCAAATAGGTCTGTCATGGAGAGGGTGAAACCAAGTTTCTCCTTGGGAGCTAGGATTTTGAAGCTCTGTCTCACATACTTTGGCCACATGGCCAGGAGAGACTAGTCCTTGGGGAAGGACTTCATGCTTGGAAGGGTGGAGGGAGAGCATGGGAGAGGAAGACCTCCAATGAGATAGATCGATACAACGACTGGTGAGATTGACTCAGGACAGGGCATGGATCAGAGCTGCTGTACTTAGTGTCACTAAGAAGCATTGATGTCTGGGAGGGAGGGTGGAAATAGAGAGGGGTGAGGGGGGCATAGGGTTAATCATAAGGTTACACAGTTTGGTGGGTGGGTGGAGTGAAGGAAATGGGAAAGTTCTTTTGTGAAGAACAATGTGTTCAAACTTCGTTAATAAATCAGAGTAATATTTAAAAAACAAGGTATTTCTAGAAGAGATCATTTTGACAAAACTTTTGGTATTTGTTGCTTAGAAGGCTGCCGAGAGAAAATGCAGAAATTCAGAACAATGCCAATTACTTACGACCATTTTGTTTAGAGACACCCAGCAATCAGGTGGGAAGTCCTGCAGCAGCGGGACCAGGAACTGAAGGCAGCCGTCCCAGTGACAGAGGAGTAGCATCATGCCGATGAGGTTAAAGATTCTCACCACCGCGCTGGCCAGATCATACGTCATATGGAAAATCTGTCAAGCAAACCACAACATCCATTTCAACGATTGGTATTTTTAAAAAATCAAGACTACTGTTCATTCAAAAGGAATTCATCTTGAATAGTCTAAGTGCCGACAGAATAAAAATATGTTGTTGTTTGTGGGGTTGGTGTTAGGAGCTGTTAAGTCAAGTACGACTCATAATGATCCCATGAACTACAAATCTGCACCCTGTCCTATCCTGTGTCCTCCTCACACTTTCTGACACACTCAAGCCCATAGCGGCAGTCACCGTGTCAGTCCACCTGATAGAGGGTCTTCCTCTCCTTCGCTGACCCTGAACCTTTCCAAGCATCATGTCCCTCTCCAAGGAACAGCACCTCCTAGAAACATGCTTGAAGTATGTGAGCTGAATGAAGCTTGATCATCTTTGACTGCACCCTCTTCAATACATGTTTGTTTGATCTTTTAGTAGTCTATGGGATGATTAGCTCTCTTGTCCAACACCAACTCAAAAGCATCAATTCTTCTTCCATAATCCCTATTCACTGTCCAGCGCTCAGATGCATAGCAAGTAATTAGAAATATTGGATCAGGCCTGAATCAGGCACACCTTAATCCTCAAACTGACATCATTACTCCTTAATAATTTACAGAGCTCACTGACTGCAGACTTCTCTAGTACATTTTCTGATTTCCTGACTGCTGGTACCAAGGTGTTTATTGTGGATCCAAGTAAGATGAAGTTGTTGACAGTTGAATCTTTCCTCCGTCTGTCATGATGTTAGTAGTGGTAAGAATTTTTGTTTTCTTCGTGTTTAGAGGCAATCCATATTGAAGAATGTATTCTTTGATCTGTAACAAGTATTACAAGTTCTCCTTACTTTGAGCAAGGTTGTGACATCTGCTTAGTGCAGGGTATTGATGAGTCTTCCTCCAATTGTTGCCACATTCTTCTTCACAGAGTCCAGCTTCCCATATTAATTTGCTCAATATACAGATTTGAATAGATATTGAGAGAGAATACATACTTGACACACTCCCTTTTTAATTTCATTAAACAAGATAGTATTCCTTTTCTCTGTTCACACAACAGGCTCTTGGTCTAGGTACAGGTTCTATATGAGCACATAAGTGCTCTGGGATTCCCATTCTTCTTAACATTAGTCCTAACTTGTTATGATTCACACAGTCAAATGCTTTTGCATAGTCAATAAAGCATAAATAGACACATTCTTCTGGTATTCTTTACTTCCAGCCAGAATCTACTTGACATCAACAATGATATTGTTGGTGCCACAGCCTCTTCTAAATCCTTCTTGGAATTCTGGTAATTCCCTATCTATGTATATTGTTCCAGCCGGTTTTGAATGATCTTCAGCAATATTTTGCTTGTATGCAATATTAATGATATTGTTCAAAAGTTTCCACATTTTTTCGGTTTACTTTTCTTGGAAACAAATATGAATCTCTTCTAATCCATTGGCCAGATAGCTGTCCTCCAAATTTCCTGGCATAGACTGGTGAACACATCCAAAGCAGCATCTGTTAAGTGAAACAAGTCAGTTGGTGCCCCATCAGTTCCTTTGTCCTTTCTTTTTCGCCAGTGCCTCCAATATAGCTTCCACTTCCTCCTTCATTAACATTGTCTCCTGCTTATATGGTACTTCCACTGAAATTTTTCAGTGTCAATCAATTCATTCTGATACAGTAATTCTGTGTATTCCCTCCATCTTCTTTTGATGCTTCCTGAGTCATTTAATATATTGCTCATGGCCTCTTTCAATATCGTGACTTGAGGCTAAAGTTTGTTTTTCAGTTCCTTCAACTTGAGAAATACAGGGTGAGTTCTTCCCTTTTTATTCTCCAGTTCCAGCTCTCTGCACATCCCATTGTAATACTTTGCTTTATCCTCACAAGCTGCCCTTTGAAATCTTCTGTTCAGTGCTTTCACTTTGGCACTTTTCCCCTTCTCGACATCCAGTGCAATTTTTAGAGTCTTTTCCAACGGTCGTTTCAAGTTTTTCCTTCCTCCTCTGTCTTTGCAATGGTCTTTTGCTGTCTTCATGGATTATATACTTGATATAACCCTATAGCTCATCTGAAGAAACCAGATGAGCTATAGGAATAAAAATATAGAATGGAATTTTACAAAGAGAAATAGAGAACTTATATTCCTGTACACTCATACCAAGGTTGCACTCTCTACCTCCCAAGTAGTCTAACCAACTGTGGATATTCCACAGAGAAAAGAGACAGCATAGATGCAGTCAATGGATATCTTCCTTCTAGACATTTTAAAGAAACTTCATTAAAACAAGGTAGCAAAATCGTCAGCTGAGGTGCTATTCTCTGCTTCTCTTAAGTTTTACTAAAGTACTAAGAAAATAAATCATGGACTGAAAACCATTAGCAACAGAAATTTGATCTAAAAATCTAAAGTAAGAATGAGACTAAATTGTAGTTAATAGTTACCTGAGTAAAGACAATTATTTAATCATGAATTTTGAACATGAACAAGGATCATTAAAATTTTTTTTTTAGATTTGGTTAAAGAACAATTGTGCAACATTAAAAGTAATAACCTTTCTATTTCCATGTCTACCATCTTCATGTAGCAGACTTTTCTGATAGATTTTCTTACCTATTTTCATAAAATAGAATTTGATAGAAGATGCTATGTAAGAAAGCATAAAAATTGCTCTGTCAAGATTTAGAAATGGAAACATATATTGATTTACATCTTAAACTACCTACTACAAATGACAAAATTTTCTGTTTCACCTAGTCCACAATAAGAAAATATACCTGGAGAGAGATCTACATTGTAGAATTAAGGGAGTGCTTTGTTTTTAACTGTTAACGTGCTAATGGATTCATACACACATGGGCAGTTTGCTTTGTTACATTCCTTGGAGTAGGATGACTAACAGTTGAACTTCTTGTGGGTTTTTTGAGTCCATCATCACATGGGAAAATACTGCTCATTTTTCTCCCACAGAGCAACCGGTGGATTCAAACTACATGATTTGGGGTTGACAGCACAACTCCTTACCATTCGCTCACCAGAATTCCTTTGCAAACTCTGGGATTTACAATCTCATTTAGTGAAATTTACTCACCAGGATTACATTTTCTCAAATAATGTGAATGACATGTATGAAGAAATCATTTAAGAAACAGGAAAACTACCATTTTCCTTGATATGAACTGAATATCTATGTTGTTGTTATGTGTTGTTGAGTCACCTGTAACCCTTAGTGACCGCAGGCACAGCAGCTCTGCAGCCTGCCCTGTCCTGAGCCAGTCTCACTAATCCTGACACACCAACCCCCGTTGCCCCAGTCACTGTATCAATCCATCTCATCTGAGCTCTACCTCTCCTGCACGGTCCCATCAGCCTTCCGGTCACTCACAACACTGTATTTCAAGATGGTCTTTTTAAAACTATGAATGCAACCTCCTTTTCCCTTATCTTTCACTTCTGGTATAACAGATTATATAATTGTCTGATTCAAATGTCCCATGCCAATCCATCTCATTTCACCCCATCTCGTTGTCAATATTTATGGGTCCCATCATTTCTCTCTTAACAATATCCAATTTGCTGACATTCATGCGTCTCACATTCTATGTGGGCCAGCTTAGCAGAGGAAGACCGTGGATGAGACAGACTGACACAATAATCGGGGTAATGAGGGCGTGTGTATCAGGGACTCTGAGATTGGCTCCGGATAGAGCAGGGCTCAGAGTTGCTGTGCACAGGGACGCTATAAGTCACAGTCGACAGCACAGATCAACAACAACCCACCATGCTAGTTTAAAGGATTGTTGTTGTTGTGTACCTCAGGTCAGAACTGACACAGCTGGCACCCCGGTGGGTTGTCAGAGTCGGTAATTTCACGGGAGGTGTTTGCCCATCTCATTCCCACAGAGGAACTGGGGGACGGGAACTGCGTGCCTTCAGCTTGGCAGTACACAACCTTGGCAACCCTGAGGGGCAGTTCAGAACCAACATAACAGTGTGGGTTTGGCTGTCGTCTAAGTGTTATTTTTGGAAGAAACACAAAGGACTTTACCAGTGGGTTTTGAGGTTGTCGACTGCATAGGAGAAGATTGCCCATCTTTCTCTTAAGGAGCAGTTGGTGGATTTGAACTTAGAGCCTTTGTGTTATCAGGATAACTCTTTACTACCAGAGTTCTCATAGGCACCACATTTAATGCCTTATTAGGCTAGAAATCTGATTAGTGGTTAAATCTCTTACCACTGAATTCTACACCAAGAAAGAACATGAAATTCATTGGTTTTCATTTTCGAAAACATTTTCTAGAGAACCTGACATGGTCTTTAAGGAACGCCAAGCACAAAGGCAGACTGTTCTGACCTCACAATGAGTAGTACTTACAGGATTCCAGTGGGCAAAAGAATAAACTTCTAAAGCATCTCTTTTCTTTTCTTTTCTTTTGACCAAAATTAGATTCTAAAAAAATGAAAGGTACTTCTGAAAAATAAGGACCTTTCATTTTTCAGAATTTTTAGCTGCATTTTCAGTAGCTTTATTTACAAAAATTTGGGAAGCTAATTAAAGCTCTAAGACTTTAAAAAGAATCTCAACTTTCTATCTATTTCCCGTTTACTTTTCCCCCTTTGTGGCCCTTAATATTTTACTGTGATTATTGTTAGAGGCCTTGGAGACCATTCCTAAGTATATTGACCCACCAATCACAAGCCAAGGCAAGCATGGGTCTCACAACATCCCACCCCATGTCCACTGCTGCTTCGCGTGTCAGTCCATCTCCTCAAAGGCATTCTGCTCTTCAGATGACCTGTTCTCTTTCCAAGCCTTGTGACAGCACTTTATCTTTCTCAACCTTATGTGTTTGCTGAAGAATTGGTTCATCTTAAGAGCATGCTCAAATTACATGAGACACAGTCTCACAAGTTCGCCTCTTGGGAGCCCTCTGGCGGTACATCTACTAAGAGCCATTTGTTTTTTATTTGTTGTTGTTATATGCTGTCGAGTCCTTTGCGA